CAGGCATGAAGATCTGCTCCAGTATCTTCGGATGTCTGCCCACACATCCACCATACTCTCCGTCGTGAGGATCGTTAAGCTTCCTCAGGTCGTGCAGGTGGAGCTTGTGGGACTTCGCAATCGATGGGGGAAAGCTATCCTCCCATCCGTCACGGTTGTGAATCCTTACTCGGGTCTTGCCTCGAGCATCAAATTGATATCTTGCTCCACCAGTCAAGATAACGACGTCGCCGAAGTGGTCGTACGCCTTGTCAAAATGGAAGGATTCAGGGCCAACCGCACACCCATTAACCAGTCCTTCAGTATCAGGTACTGGAGAGGTAAGGACCATGGCTGTTGGAGAAGGTCCCTTACGGGTACCTTCCTCAAGCAACCCCTCGATTGGTCCCCTAGGGGTACCAATCTCCAGGGATGCTTCCGAATCTTCTGTAACCAGGGCCCTCACTGCAGGCCTAGCTCTGACTATGGACCTACATTCAGGGGTCCTAAGTGCCCTAACACAGGCTGGTAAGTCCTCTTCAAAGGTACTTAAGCATAGTAGAAGTAGTCCTGTTTCCTGGCACCTACCAAGAGGTACCCGTGATAATGAGCCGTCTTGGTTGCGGATCATGCAGGTACATGTTTTCATGTCCTTAATAAGCCCTAAGGTGCTTTGTGCAAACAGGCTCAGCAGCAAGGGGTTTCGGGCAGAGGTGTCTACTTCGTGAGATTCTAGTACACCCCCAATGGTTGTATCTCCCTTGACTATGCTGAACGGCAAACGACGTTTTCCAAGTGTGTTGGATGTTGCACCTAAACCCGCAAACGACTTTTTCCTAGAATCAACCCAGGGGAAACTTAGGCCTAGCGCCTTAAGTCTCTTCTCGGCTAGTGCTCCCCAGGATGCACTATGGCAGGTGGAATTGCAACCTTCGTCGAGGGCACCCCATACGTGGGCCTCTAACGGGTCCCACATGTCTACTAGGGGGAGGTTGTCAATTCGGACTAGATCACTACCAGAAGCTGATCCTGCACCTGCAATATTCCTAGGAAAAACCTTAGGTTTTCCATCGCCCTTCCCCTTAGCCTTCGCCTTAGAGAGGGCCTTGGGCGGTGCAGGTTGACTTGGCTCTGAAGGTGAGATCCCTCTACCTTTACCTCGCCTAAGCCACCTAGGTTTCGGTTCTATCCCTGCTCCCTTGCCCTGCCCGATGGTCCTCGCCGGCGCCGCGGTCGAAGCTGAGTTGCCACTGTCGGGCAGGTCCTGTCGAGAGGCGGAGGCACTGGCCCGGGAGGGTCCAGTGAAGCGGTTAGGCCTCGTGACGTAAGGATCACGGGGCTCCTCTTCAGCTTGCACATAGGCTTGTGCTGCGTCTGCCTCCCATACAACCGACCTATCTACGAAACCACCCTTAGGGTTTTCCTTAGGGGTCGGCTCGACTGGATTAGGGGTCTTAGGGATATTTTGGTTTTGGCTCGACGACGAGGATGCCTGGGCATTCCTCGGAGAGGATGCTTGAGCATTCCCCTGTGGGGGCGAGGAGGCTTCCGCCTTCCACTTGGCGCGGATGTACTCAGGTCCTGCCTTAGCGCAGGCCTCTCTGTACTCCTCCTCGCGCCTCTGTGCGTCGAGTTCTCTTCTCCTGGCGAAACCCTCTGCCAGGATCTGCTCCCGTCTGCGTCTCCAGGCATCATGCCTTGGGAGATTCTGGAGGTCCAGGTCTCGCTCTGTAGGATCCTCCCACCAAGGGACCGGTTCGGTTCCCTGCCGCTGGCGTGCTTGGAAGTCCAGCTGCATGATCTCCCTTCCGGGAACGTGTCGCACTTGCAGACGGTTCTGAGCCGCCGACGCTGAAGCAGGAGGCGTCACACTGTCGGATTCGGCATCATTCTGAGTCTGCTGGCGCGCCTGCTCAAAGGCTGCGTCAAGATCCTCTTGAGCTTGCCTGGCGATATAATCGTCCAGCTCAGCAACATTGTAGGATCCTGGCGATCCGTCGTCTGACGAACCACCCGGGAACGGGTCGTACAGATCGTCATCGGCCCTGAAGCTTTCTATTAGAATAGCTTCTCGATAATCGCGATCGAGATCCGGATCCTGGCTGTGCACAACGGAATCGGTCCCCAGGGGATCCGAGATGTTGTACAGCTCCGGAGTATTTGAGGCTGGCTCAGGCTCTGGAGCTGGATCTGGCTCTGAAGCAGGAACTGGAACAGGCTGCTTAGCCTTCCCCTTTCCTTTGTTGCGCCCGGGGCTGCGGCCTCGGGCCACCATTGCTGTTGGGGCGAACTCCCAGGAGGGACTTATGGGACTAGACCCGACTATCATGGTGATTGCTTCCTTAAGCCACAAGTGAAGCCCTGTTGGGTGAATCCGTTCCTCCAACGCAATGGCCTGGTTGATGCGATCTTGGTACAAACCCATGATCTGCAGCACTGCCTCAGGGTCGAGGTCAGCGGTCGCGTCGTCAGCGGTAACCGCTTGAACCAGGGGAAGCGCGAGGTCCGTCGCTTCCAAGATGCGTTCCGAGACGGCTTTCCGTTCTCGGTGAAACTCCTGCGGCACTTCATCAACGATAGTGCCACACATTCTACAGAAGGTTCGGGACGTGATCCTCGAACTACCCCGATGGTCTGTTGCTTCGTGTGAGCATACAGAGGGGTCTACGGTATATACATGTTCCCGTTTTTCTTGGGATACATGGCCGCAGTCCCTGCAGGTCTTGCGGACGTAATTCGCGGAACTCCCTTGGTAGGAGAATTCCGTGCACGAGCTACACTTCTCCGCCAAGGGCGGATTCGGTGGAGTCTTTTTCTTCGCGCCCTTTCCCCTCGGGCGAGGGTTATAGGTTCCCTCAGGGATACCTATCGAGGCACGAGTTTCGCGATAGTATTGACCTCCTACACCCTGCTGAATGACATAATATCTATTAAACCAGGTGAGGAAATCCTTAAGGTGCGCGGCAGGGCTCGGCTGGACGAGGGCCCAGCGCACGAACTCAGTCTTACGGGATACCTCCTCGTAAGTCTGGCCCTTGTGTTGACCGAGATTAAATCTTCGGTCGGCACCCTCCATCTGCATTGAGCTAGATGGTTGTGAGGGGGCAGCCTTGGATCTGGGTTCGCCTAGATCCCGCACCATATGGCCACTAGGGTCCATATCGTTCCCTGAGGGAACGTACAGGCCCCCGTCGGGGTCCTGTCGCGGCTCCACAATTGCTATGTGGGCCCGGGGTTTCCCTTTCCCTCCTTTAGAGGTAGGGAATTTGCACTCGGGGTCACCTGCCCAGTGACCAATAGCTCCACACCTGAGGCATTTCGACCGTGCCTTCAGGTTTTTCATTTTCTCGCGACGTTCGTCGAGCGTAAGGTGTGATCGCACTACCTTACCTTTCCCTTGTCCTTTGCGGCCCTTGCCCTTACGCCCCTTCGCCTTTCCGAATGCGGCGTTCGCGGCAAGCTGCAATTGGATCACATGGCCGCTGTCTGCATCCTCGGGATCAAGCTCCTCGAGGCAGTTAAGGGCGGTTGCCTCTTCTTCCTCGAGCTCGAATTCCTCGTAGCCCGGGTCCTCTTCCTCCTCCCCGGCGGGGTAGGAGTGAGGATCGTACTCAGGCTCGTCCCCAAAGGCGGGGTACGAGGTGTCGTCGTACTCTTCGGCATCGTCGCCGTCGTCCGGCGGCGCGTCGTCGTAGTACTGCGTCTCGTCTTCAGCGACGTAGGCGCGACGGTTAAAACCCTTAGACCTATTCTTACCGTAGCCCTTAGGGTTCCCGCGGCGGGCACCAGGATGGTGATGCGGTCGGCGGTCCTGAAAGGTACCGCCACCTAAGGAACGACCTTCCTTTAGGTGAACGCCGCTGTAGTGCTCCACTAGGGTAGCAGCAACTGCTTCAAAGCTCCGGTTGCTAGTGGTGCATGCCTTAATGACAAGGCATTCTTGCCGAGTCAAACCGGAAAGCTCCAATAGCAATTCTACGCGCATCGGCTCGGAAAGCTCGATGCTGGCGTCGAGAGTTTTGAGCAGTTTCCACCAGCGTCGTCGTCGGCTGACGTACGACAGCATCGACTCGCCACCTTGGCGTGCGAGGACACCTTGCTTTTGGCCCGCACGGAAGAGCTCTCGAGCTTCTTCGGTCGCACGGGGGAAGACGACATTCCTCAACTTGGTGATGAAACCCCGGAGGCCACCAGGGGCAGTCAGGGATTCGATACCGATATCCCGGGCGAGTTCGAAGGCTTCGTCCCGAAGTCCTTCCAGCACTTTATGCACCATTTCGGTTCGTGCCTTAATCGCATAGGATGACATTTCGTCGGCAACCGGCAGTTCTGTGACCGAGTCAGGTGACTTCGGTGCAGATGGTCTCCTGCGAGATCCACCATCAGAGGCTGCTGCAGATGCCTCGGCTGCATCTATGTCGGGCCTGTCCTCGGGAGGTACAGGGGCAGTGGCTCCCGCAGTCGGACTCTGCTCCACGACGCGGCTCTCATCGTCACTGCCTTCTTCTTCTGGCTCCACGGTCTTCTTAGATTTGCTCCTGATGGCATCTTCGTACAGTTTAAGCCTCATAGAGGTCCTAAACTCCCAGTCGTGGAACGTACTGGGGGTGCCATCATATATGTAGCTCCCGCTACGAGTCTCAAGGGGAGTACTCGAGTAGGTGGAGCGACTGTACCGAAGACCGGCCACGGACATGCTTGGCGAAAGTTCGAAGGGAAAGAATTGAGAGGGAGGTATGCAATGGTAGGTATTGAGCACAGGCTACAGGCTACTGCGATCCGCGCAGATACAGGTCCCGGAGGTACCTGGCTCCGCTGCCAGTTTGAGAAAACTGGTGGATCTTTTCGCCGACTGCGAAGCTATCTGAATATGACTCAAGGGCCCTAACGGCAGCGGGAAATATATACAGTTAACACATGCATGTCATGGCCATGGCTTCCTGTACATGTACAACAGAGGGTGCATTCACAGCTTCTTTTCCCGCCAAAGTGCCCCGACGCTTGTGCCGGCGCCAAGGCTCGGGGTGCACCCGGTAGGGCAGGGACTCGAAGTAGATGGAGGTGGCGGAGATCTTCTTCCTGCCGGGTGCCGCTGGGGGCTTTCTTTGCGCTCGCAACGATGCATGACTGCGCCGAGGTGCTTGGCCGTGTAGTAGCCGTGGGTCAAGTGTCCACCGGATGGCAGGTCCAGGCCCATGACCCTGTCAAGACAAGGGGACTTGCAAACAGCTTGGCTAGCATTCAAGCAGATGTCGAATTGCGGTGAAGCTCTGCTGCACAAGACACCACTGATGCCTGGAATTCTAGATGCTAGCCCCAAGCGGCCTTGCGTGCGGCGGCAGCAGGGCTGTGTACACGGCAAAGTTCGCCGGGCTGCCAGAATATGGCTGGACGTTGACCTCAGCTGAAACTTCTCTGGTCGGAACGTTCGACGGAGCGGAATGCTAGCAACATCTGCCAGGGAATCGTCCCTCCCGGTGCAGACAGGACACGCCCCATGCCTTCTCGTCCAAGCCGAATGCCTTCAACGCACGGTCCTTGCAGAGGTTCTCCACCTTGTCGATCACCTTCAGGCACAGGTGGCTACTCAATCACCCTCTATCACCACTGGAACAGCAGCACCATGTCACTACCCCCCACCCCCCAACAGCATCACTCAGCAGCAAAAACTGGAGCGTAGGTTGGGCACTTTCATACATTGACCGCAGGTCTTCTCTCACCCGACGAAAAGCCGATGGCTGCATCTGGAGCTTGATTTCTGAAGTGGCAATAGCGTGCTTTCGAGTCGAATTCTCCAGTACAGACTTGCAGAGATCCAACCTGCACTTTACTTGTCAGATCACGTCTGCAGAGTCCAGCCTCATTGCCACCGTAGTAACGGTTTCCAGGCTGGCCCTCGGAGTACCTCACGGCAAAGTAATGGCAGGTACTTGTACGGTAAGGCTAGTGACTTGTGGCCTCTTGTGGCAAGGCTGGGGGCCCGGCTTGTTCGTGAGGGCCGAACCCAGGCACTCCATGACGGCTCGGGAGGTGAAGTTCTCCGATGCGATGAGCTCGATGCATCCTCGGAAGTCGTAGGCCGCTTCATTCTTCTTGGGTACAAGTTGTGTGACCCTGATTGCTGTTCCTTCTGCCACCGGTACTGACGATTACTGACGAGTAGCAAGCACTCGTCCGGCTTTAGCAAAACCAATCCCAATAGGAACAGTCTTTTACAAACGACCACTTCCTGCTGATATTCTTTTCGCTGATAGCCGGAGACTAGTGCTACTGCTACGACGACGACACCCACTACTACTGCTGCTGCTGCTACAACTATCAATACGATGATGAAGAATTAAATGATTGAGGCTGTCCGTACTTGGTAGGTGCGTTGGGCTAGGTCACGGCATCGACCACAAGCAGACCACGAACTGCCAACCCATGCTTTGTTGAGCTTTCAGCGGACCCTGAAGCTTCACCGCTACCGTTCCCAACTGCAGGCTCCAAGCCCAAGCCAACCTCCAAACTCCCAAGACGTGCCAAAGTCTGCAACACCAACCTTTTCGGTGGATGTCTGCAGGGATGGCGAGGACGACATACACCCTGGTCTCATGTTGCAAAACCCTGGATGGGGTTCTGAGGGCCGGATTTCAATCCCGAACAGCCGCCCTGCAGGGACGAGTTGCGCGTCTGCCTGGCTTTCTCCTGCTGGACAAGATCGTACCTCAAGCAGTTCCGGCTGGCCCCGAACATCCGAGCTCCAAAACTTGCCCTCAACCCCCGTTGCCCTGGTTCAGGCCTTTATCGGCAGGGACTACAGAGGACTACAGCTTGATCCTGCTTTAAAGCGAGAGGTCAGTACGCATGCTCGAACCGCTTGTGAAGTCCGTGTTTGCAGCGCATTCGGACATGTAGGCATTGACGGCAGTGAAATTATACAGGCGAGCCAGAACGATGGGGAATTATGCGAGAGCCTGCGAGGCTGTAACTGCAAATCACAGAAACCAGCTCTTACCCGGCCGAGACCCGATCGAGCTTCTTTAGAACACACCCCGACTCTGCCTGCGAGGCCAAGTGGCATGACCGGATCTGCCTCTTGCAGGGGCTTGTTGCCGGGGAGGACTGGCCTGGTAGCAGCCATGACCTGATGCGCCAGGAATCGCGACTCCAATGTTTTCAGGCTTCGCTTTCAGTGATCAGCGAGTCTGTTGATGTCTGTGCAACAGACGCAGGCCGGGGGCTCCTCTCAGGTCGAGCAATCGACTGGCAAAAACAAAGCAGCCTTCAACTTACGCATCTGAAGCAAAGGCGCAGCGGGCTGGAAGACGGCGATGCCAGAAAGATGCTGTTCGAGGCTTGGGTCAGCTGCAAAATGGAGTAAAGATCCACTCGAGAGCCCCGCCATCCGACTGCAAAACCAAAACTGCACACAGGCTCAGTCACACCAGTTCTCGAAGACATGCAAATCTGGGATAGCCCTCGGCAAGGCCCAAAACTATTTCTCTACCAATTGGCATCCCAAGTGTGATACCATTACAGGAGAATCCAAAGCCCAATCGTTTTCAGAGGTGCCACCGATTGGCAAGCACAACGACGGCAAAGCAGATGCCTAACTTGTTAAGTGAGTCAGCAAAATGGAATCGTCCCGGCGTCTGTTTGCCTGGCGCCGCCTTCTATATTATACGTAAGCCGTTTGGGAAAGTGATACTCATTGTGAGATGTAGTCCTATGCGGAAGTCCCGGGAGCATAGAGCTAGAATATCGTGTTGGCCCGACCGCCTGTCGTCGTTGACTGCCTGGCCAAGCCTGAGCCAGATAGATTGGCACAGCTAGACATGGTTGAACAACACGAAGCTTTGCATGGGGGGATTGGCCTTCCCCAAACCGGACGGAGCACTCATCCTAGCGAGCCTACGAGTCGCATCGTTCGGGGGTCCCGGGCCCTGACTTCGAACCTGACCTTGCGACCCTGAGCTGTCTGCTCTCTTAACCCCTTATCCCTACTATTGAACAGCCCACCCCGTAATTTTTTAAACCTGATTTCGGGGCAGAGGTTTGTATATCATGGAGGTTTCGGGCATCCGGGTATGAGTCGGATTGACAGTAATGATGAGCCAGGTAGTGAGACAAGCAAATAATTAGGGATACAACGACCGGCAATCATGCAGCCGTTCCGGCTGTAGAGCAGACAATCAGTTTTGCATTACCCGAAGCCCCTAAGCCCTAAAGTGAGCCCTGAGCCCTAAGGCCCTAAACCTTAAGCGCTAAGCCCTAAACCCAAACCCTAAAGCTATAAAAGCCAATACAAATCCAGCACCCCCCCGATGTTTTCGTGCACTTTCAGTTGTGGGCCCGAAGCAGCGAAATTCTGGGGCCGGAGTTTGTTATTTACAAGGGGGGTAATATCAAGGGGAAGGGATGAACACAGCTATCAATACTCACTAAAACATGCCAAGTCCACCAGCCTCGCATGTTTTGAGTAGCTGTGCGTGCCGAACTCATGACCTGCTGACTCCACAAGAATCTAAAAACATCCAAGGTTGTGCGAGCCAATGAATTTTGGTGTTGCAGCTTTTGCCTCCGTGTTGTCCAAGGCACTGCTCACCCACGAGAACCAAACCAGCACCCAAACGACACAACCCTTGCAGAATGGGCTCGTGTATCCTTTAGAAGGCTAAAGGGCACATCGATGCAGGGTTCCATCGGGTAGTGTGGTGCTGAAGTGCCTCGTCACGGCCACCACAACCAACAACTTCACGCAGTCAGATGGCTTTCGCCCAACCTGTCGGATAAGAGAGCGAAGGTGCGAGCCCCACCCCGACGTGCAGGATGCGCTGTGCCGAAGGACAAGACGATGCAAGAAGGCACTCAGCTTGTCACTCCCTTGTGTCTTACGTCATGCAATGAGGATGGGAAAGGCTCAGTCCAGGGTCCGGCTTCGTTCGAGTTTCTGCTGGTTCGTGATGCCCATGAGGACCTCCGCGGCCAAGCCTCGGTGCGGCTGGGTCAAAACCGGAGCCCTACATCGCAAGCATACCATCCGAGCAAGCAGGCCTTACGATCTCTATGTGAGGTCTGATGGCTCTGGATGAGATTACCCATTGCAACAGTTCGGGCTGCTAGTTTAGCCTTCCGTCCATCATAGCTTAGTCATGCTAAGGCGTAGTCGGCATGCAGTGTAGAAACATCACGGCCGTCTGACGCGTTGCATGCTTCACACGTGTCACGTTCGACATGCTCAAGTGTCTGCACTGAATGAACTGTCGAGCGTTGGGGCTCTTTCAACCACGATCTGCAAAAACAAGGCGAGGCAATTCTTGAAAGCCAGCGGCTCATGTCGCGACCCCGCCGCTGCTTCAGGGCTTCGATAAGGTCCTGCAGCAACACCCTGGTTCATCAACCGTCTATGGCGCTGCCAGTCCTTCACCATTTGCGGGCCGGGGCTCAACGGAGATCTAAAGAGAATTGGGTGACTGAAGCCCGAACCTCTAGCCAGCCTGCAGGAATTCAGTGCCATAGTACCTTTATAGACTCATGGAGAGATCAAGAGGCAACTGCAGTTTTGCAACAAAGCTTCCGTAGTCTTTGACAGAAACTCAGTATTCCCTGTTGCTGCCCTTAGAAGGGGTCTCCCAAAAATCACTCCATCCTTTCATCCGCTGGCACCCAACAAAGGCCAAACTCTCTCGAAGAGTTGCAAGAGCACGGCTTCGCAACCATAGAAGAGAGTGAGAGGGCTTGTGCTGGGCGGGAAGCCAAATTCGCCAATCAATCAACAGTACACTGCTTGTTGGCTGGTTCAATTACTCTGAATGGCTATGCCCAAAGTCTTCGAGGTTGTGACATTCTATCCTGGAGGCATAAGCAACCCCTGTCATAGAGCTTGCAGGCCTGCGGAACATCTAGGCCCGTTCGCCGCATGACCTGCCGCGAATTTCAGGCGCTAACTGTGCGTGATACTCCGGCGACAACAGCCGGGCTTGATACTCTGAGCACCAGCTGGAACGGATGAAACAGCGATGGAATGCGGGCGGAGAGCTGAAGCTGAGTTGCTGAGTTCATAAGCCATAAAAATTGCACACTTCCAGTTTCATATAAGGGGTGATTCATACTGTCCCAAAACGTGTCAAGTGTATCTTCTCAGCTACTAAGGAAGCTTGTCCAGGAAGCATCACAAAACCGGCAAAGGCTCTACTCTACACGGCTCATGCTGCGGCCGCAACCCTCAGCTGACTGCTGGCGCCTGTGTGATGAAGATCATAGCGTGCCTTCGGATGATGCTCGGCGGGCATTGCTATAGCAAGCACAATGTGTTTTCGCAGAATCTGAGCGAGAAGAACTTTCTCCTGCTTCCAGCTCCCAAGCTACAGCTGAGCTCCCTGCCCATCGGGGCCTGCCAAGTCACAAGCGTTTGCAAGGGGTGTCAGACATGTTTAGTGTGAACAAGCGCGACGCCCTTGGGAAGGGCAGATCTCCGGAGAATGGACACCACTGGGTCTGCCATGGTCTGCTGCACAGACAACACTCCTAATCCCAACGAGGGGCTTAAACCCGAAACCGGTCATAAAGGATAAACGCAAAGAGTCCAAGAAGGTGCCTTTTCGCAGCAAGGTGATGGCAGTGCCCTTGCGCCCAGCACGGCCGGTCCGGCCAATCCGGTGGACATAGTCTTGTCCGTCCTGCGATGGCTTGGGGATGAGCCAACTACAAACAGAGTCCACAAGACAGGGGTGACTCCGGAAGCTACAGCCCTTTTTTCTGGCTCCTGCGCCGGTAGTTAGGATTGGCATTAAGACCAACTTGGCAGGATCCGGGAGCCCCAGGAAGACTTGCGCCGGACTCCACACACGCTGCCAACGGTCTGAAGCATCGGGTTTGGCGGGGTCAGTACATCGATCGCTACAACGCCACTTCAACCCACCTCAGAAGCTTCCGAACTTCTGAGGCCTCGATGACTAGAAGCCCAAGTTTAACAGCAGCGGGGTGTCGAAACAGCAAGCTTGCTGCATCTCCAACCACTATGATATCCAGCAATTACAAGCTTCATCTACTAGGTCTACTGCCTGGCTTGGGCCGCTAGGGACTGCTCGGTGCCACGCAGCACCCAAAAACACAAAATTCCGGTGGCCGGGTGAAAATTCAACGTTACTTTCCCTGCAGCTGCACGGCGGCAGCCGTCATGGCCGAGGCCGAGGGACGTCGCAAACTCTGAAAAGCACTTTCGGCCCACTGCACTGCCTTTGGCTTACAGGCCAGGGTATCCGAACTTGCTGGCCCAGGCCTCCACCTGCACGGATTCAACAACTTAGGGCAGGTTTACTACTACTTGTAGCCCATGTCGTGCTGCATCTACGGAGCTACGGTCAAGTCGTTGCGATCCCAAGTTTCTGAGTAAGATACCAACAGATCGTCGTTATTGTGCATCAACAGCGTCATCGCAACGGGCCAACCCCCGCCCCATGTAGCTGTGTGTCGATTAGCAATGCTTCTTCGTGCCCGTGTCGCGACCTCCTTCTTCAACGCGGCAACATCTGGGTTGCTCGGAATGGCAGCCTGCAAAACAAGGCTGGTGGTTGAGGCTTGTAAATTGCCGTTTCGAGAGTCAATACAAAGACGCTTCTGCCGTTCTGATGCTGGCTTAGCCTGTTCTTCCCTATAGCTTTCTGCTTGAATCCTGCAGCCCGAAATATCTTCGAAGTCCCTTGACTTCTTTAGAGGAGGAATGCAATGTCCACGTATGTCCACATGCCACGTGAATTCCAGACCTCGAAGTCCTTCAACTTCTTGCCCTTCTCGGCTTGGATCTTCAGTGCCAGTTGGCAACACCGGTCAAGGAAGTCACCTGCAGTTTCGCAGGGTTTCCTCCAGGCCTACTGTGGACCCTATGATTTCGAAACGAGCAGTCGGCGCGGTGAGGCCAAACAGCTTGCTGTTCCACACTCTGCATTTCGGGCTGGGCACTCTTGGGCGGCTGGGATCAGCACGGGATCTAAGTGAGCTGGTGACCCGACTCCTACATATTACATATGCCAGGTCGGAAAAATCGGCCAGGCCACCGATGGTCTTGAAGTCCTGCTCAGTGCAGCCGCGAGTGGTCATCGCAGGGGCTCCCACACGAACTCCTGACGGACCGGCACAGCTCGTCGCAAGGAGCTCAGCTCTGCTGTGCCGGGATGAAACTTCGTCGGCCTCCCGGGGCCAGAGCAGATGCATCGCCGTGCACGGCATTTCGGTTCCTTGGTGCAGCGCTGTAGGCTCGAAGACGGAGGATGTTTTTTTGCAAAAGCCTTGTAGAGGCGCGGCTGGGCTGATGACCAGCTGGAAGTACCGGGGATGCAACCAACCAAGCCGAGATTCAGAGTGATCGATGCCGCCTCACAGATCTTCTCCACCTGTCCAGAAGGC